CCCCACATACACAATTCTAAAAATAAATTTGATGATTAATTAAAGGCGTCTCTCACGAATTACGTCACGTCATCCCAAATGGGGACCCTCTGAGAGTGGAGACACTGAGTATGCGTGGTTGATCAAGTACGTAAGTTATGAGTAGTGAGCTCAAATGCACTTTAAAAAAAACAAGGAGACTATAAATTCTTCTTTTCGTTCATCTTTAAATGGCCATCCTAGTCTCTAGTGCCAAGGTTGCTGTTCTTCGCAGATCCTCCAGGACTCCATAGTTTTGGGTCTGCCTGTGGTCCAATATTTCTTTCTAAGCTTGTAGATAGTTAAGGTCCTTCACTTTTATTCGTCTAACTTTGTTGAGTTAACGTAACTGGAACATGCTATGACAATCTACAGCCTGTGACCCTTGGGCTTCTAGAACCTGCGCACTGGATCAGCGCTCTGAGATAAGACGGCGTTATCTTTGCTTGGTTCATTTTTGTTGACTTATGACTGGTGCTGTGTCATTTTGAGGAAACGAAGCTTCGTCGACGCTTCGAAGAGTGAGATCCCGATTCTTGCTATTCAAATACTGTGAGTGGATTTTTGGTTTGGTTTGCTTTTATATAAATAAGTCCATCCGCATCTTTCTCTATTTAGTATTCATATAATTCAAAGCGCCATTCACTGGGCACCCAATGGCACACACGAAGTGCAATACATTGACGTCACATCACCATTCACAAAAGCTTGAAAGTTTCGAATGGAGAAAGAGAACTCATTGCGACAGAGAACTGTTCCATCAGCTACACTCTGAGAATCATAGACCCTTGAGCAATTCATGGTGTGACTAGTGAATATCTAACAGCAGAGAATACTTAGTAATAATAATTTTTTTAAATAGTAGGCCTACTTGTATACCGCATATCCCCGCTCGACTTTACACTTTATTATTACCCAAGCAGACCATAGAACACTCAGAAACATTCTCAGCTTCCCGGGAAGCATACAGTGCAAGCAGTGATTAAGGAGGGGGGGGGGCTACACCTGAAGGCTATCTCGCTTATTACTGGACCGAATTTTACCAAATTTCACACATACAACAAGCATAGTAAGGAGTCTTGAAATCCGCAACCAAAGGTGAGAAAAAGTTTCGTTTCCATGGATACGGCGGCCATTTTGGATGTTGTTGACATGTCTTAC